CAGTGGGCTTTGTTTCTGTTCCTGCCCTGGGTTCCTACCCCGCTTCCCTTCATGATGGGCTATGATGTGGAAGTGTAAGCCTAGGAAGCCCTTTTCTCCCCTCCAGTTGGTTTTCGGCAATGTTTTTTGTTTGTTTGTTTTTGCAGCAGTACAAAGCAAACTAGAAAAGAAATTGGCACTGTGAGTATGGTCTTGCTGAGGCAGACCTAGCAATGGTGCTTTGGAGTGGATTGTAGAAGTATCTGGAACTTTGGACTGGAAAAGTCGGTACGTATCCAGAGCTTAATAGGAGTTTAGGAGATAAGAAATCTGACAGCAGACCATGGAGGCCTGGATCATGAAGTTTAAGAGCAGACTCTAGTGGGACAATTTGTGTGATATATTTAAGTTAAAAATCTATAGTTTCTGGTCAGCTGGGACTGAAAAATCAGCTGTATTAATAAGAAACTAGCATCACCAAGGCTAAATCCTCTGGGAGAAGTTCCTCAGGGTCAGCAAACAGAAGTCGTGGTCCAGCGTGGGGGTTTGGGGCCAAGGGGGCACAGCTAGTTGTCATGTGTAAGAGACTCACACATGGACTTGAGTCATGAGGGGTCATGGGGTGATGGAGAACATCTGAGGCTTGGCACTGTGAAGGTCAGGACAGGCCGCTGGTGATGGTACAGCCTCCATAGCAGTGTAAGCCTAGAACTCAAGGGGTCATGGGGAAAGTCTGAGTCTTGACCACATGGAGCAGATTAGAGCTCCTATAAAGAGGCCAGATGAAGGTGCAGTCTAAATTGCGGTGAAGACCCTAGCTTATCGGAGGTTACCGCCAAGAACAGGAAGTAGTGGCAAACCAGAGAAGTGGGACTGTTCAGGTCCTTTGGAGCTCAGAAGATCATGTGTGGGTGCCAAACACGCAACACTGAAGGGCTTTATACTGTTGGAAGTCTGGTTTTGCTTCTGCTTGATGGCAACAATCCCCTGGTTCTTCCCTCTTGGAGCGAGAAACTATTTAAATTGTTCTGTTTGTACAAAAATCAACAGCAGTCTTGAAAAGAGACCTAGGTCTTTTTAAGTGTTGAAATTCTTAAGGACTGTAGGGCCTTTAAAGCTGCACTATGATTTATATTGTGATGTTAATATTAACATGAGAACATGTTAGTTAATATTTTTTTTACCTTCTTTTTTTTTATTGAGAAAAGAAGAAAAAAAGCATAAACAAAAAAAAGTTTCCACCTCCTCCCAGCCTCCCATTTCCCTCCCCCTCCTCCCACCCTTCTCCCCCTCCCCCCACTGATGAGACGCCAAGGACAATGGCACGGGGTTTTGATCCTACTTAATGTGCTGGCTTTGTGGGAGCCTAGCCAGTTTGGATGTTCACCTTCCTAGATATGGACGGAGGGGGGAGGACCTAGGACTTACCACAGGGCAGGGAACCCGGACATGTTAGTTAATATTAACGTGAGAAACAAAAAAGAAAAGGTTACGGTCTGAATAGTGATGTGTTTGTATGTCAAGTTGCCAAGGGTCAGTTGTGCTGGTTAGTTTTGTGTCACCTTGACATGAGCTGGGGAGATGTGAAAGACAGTGTGTATTCAGCATAAATAGGGAGAGGCTGATAACTGAAAGACAAGTCAGGTGCAGCTTGATGGGTGGTTGAGTTTCTTGGGACCAAGCCCAGCCAGTTTCTTATCTATTACACACTTAAAGCATTTCTAGGATTCCATGCACCTTCAGCAGGAGGAACTGGTGATTAGAACTTCAAGGGAAAGCCCTAGGAGGGTCCCGTGACCCTCCCTCCCTTTACCAAGAAGGAATATTAATAACCTAATTACTGTGACCTACCTATCAGCTGAAATGTTCTAATTGCTACCATAACAGCAGTTACAGCCTCCTGCAGGTCACCATAGCCACTCAACCTCATGATGATCACGGTTAAACCAAGCCCAGAGAAAACACTCATCCGCCATCTCTGTACATCCTAATTAATTCTTGACCCAAAATTACTTATTTTAGAATTTATCAAGCATAGCAAAAAGCTTAAATTGTTCACAGCACCAGCTGTGGTGTGATGGCGGCTTAAGTCTGTAATGCCAGTACTTAGGAGGTTGAGGTGGAGAATTGTGAACAGTTTGAGGTCAGGCTGGACTGTAGAGAGTAAGACCCCATGTAGGGGGTTGAAAGAGAAATGTCCGTTATAGGCTCATGCATTTGGGTTGACAGCGCTGTTTGGGGAGGTCATGGAACCTTTAGAAGGAAGAACCGGAAGGATGTCACTAGGGAGTGAGCTCTGAGAGTTCTTTGCTGCTCTCCACTTTCAGCTCCTTCTCTTGGCTTCACACTTGCCTTCGAAGATGTGATCTCTCAGCTGCCAGTTCCTGCTGCCCTGCCTTCCTCACCATGATGGACACTTATCCCTGTAGGAATCCTGAACCCCAAATAAATTCTTCCATAAAGTTGCTGTGGGTCCTGGTGTTTTATCTCTGCCACAGAGAAGCAGTGACTACATCCTGTTGTTGTGAGAGGCTGCTTGTTGGTTCCCAGAGGCTCAGCCCCAAAATAATCACACAGAAACTATATTATTTAAATCACTGCTTCGTCCATTAACTCTAGCTCCTTATTGGCCAACTCATATATATAAATTTATCCCATCTCCATTAATCTGTGTATCGCCATGTGGCAGTGGCTTACCGGGTAAAGTTCCAGCATCTGTCTCCAGTGGGGCTACATGGCTTCTCCTTAACTCTGCCTTCTCTCTCCCAGCCTTCAGTTTAGTTTTTCCCCACCTAGCTCTGTTCTACCCTATCAGACCAAGCCAGTTTTATTAACCAATGGTATTCACAGCATACAATGGGGAATCCCACATCATTCTGTCTTAAACAAAAAGAAGAAAATAAAGCAAAACAACAACAAAAAACATTTAAGCAGGGCATTATGAAAGCAAAACCGAGGCAATGAAGCTGTGAAGTAAACTGAAAGCCCTGACATCTTCTTCTTAAGAGCAGACCAGTACTGCTGTTTCCAAATGGACAGACTCCAGTGTCCCTACATTGTCTTCTCACAGCTGCTCAGCCTCTTAACAGCCCAATCCCTGTTTTTTTTTTTTTAATAGACAGAGTCTCTTCTATCCCAGTTTGGCCTTGACACTGAGGATGACCCAGAACTCCCAACCTCCTGCTTCTGCCTCCCAAATGTTTGGATTATAGGCCTGCACCACTGCTCCTGGTGTATGTAGAGCTGGGGATAAAAGAGTCCATCGCTTCTTGTTTGCTAGGCAAGTACTCCACCAACCGAGCTGTATCTCCACCCCTAACAGACTTAAGAACAGCTTAAGAACAGACTTCTTAAGCTTTTCTGCTCATGATCTCGTTCACTCAAGAGAGGTTCTTTTTTGTAAGAGAAGATAGTTTATTCCAGATCCAAATATAAATGAACATGACCCAGGAACACTGATCTGGGTTACTCCAAATTCCATGTTCCAATGTGGCAACTGTTTGATGAACTTATTTTATAGGAACCGACAAAGTCATAAAACACTTTCCAGACACACTAGCAGAAACATCAGGTAGGTGGGACATAGCGAATGGGGAGGGTACAACTCTGCTATAGGCCTCAGATGCTGTCTGTTATTTGGTTGGAAGAGTCTGGGTTCTGTACAATGATCTGATGACTCTGTGAAGCCTGCTTATGTGGCTATTCATTAACAATCTTTTAGGAAACTCGGGTGATGAGACTGGCCTATGAGATCACTCGTCCTCCCACAGTTGGGAAAACTGTTCAGGTTCTTCATCCTTCAAGCTGCTAGCCATGAAGGAGAGACCAGCGCCAGTGTCCTTATGCCTGCTGATGTCTAGTCATCTGCCCACTAAGCATCTCAGTGACTGGGAATGTTGAGCTGTATATGTGATGCCAATTCCAAGCCTCAGTATCCTCTGCAGGTAGATTTGGGGCACGAACTCTCTTGAGGTTACCACATCTATGCATTTTATTCTGCTGAATTTATTTCCCCAAATGCCAGGCTCCCCCAGTTATGGGGTTCCCATTCCTGAGCACCTACCAAAGACAAAAATCTTCCCCACTTGTGACCAGAGGTCCCCTACAGTATATTCAGCCTGCATACTTGATACCTCAGTTGGGACCGGATGGACAGGACACCTGTGCAGAAGATATACTTTCTCCCTGTGCTGGCATCAAAATGTGGGGTATCTCCATTCAATCATTTGTTTGTTTGTTCATTCATTGACTTTGAGAACAGCTGGGCACCCTAGGACTAGGGGGAACTAAGTCAGATAAAAATGGCCAGAACAGCTCCAGGAGGGACTTAACTGCTGCCAAGGGGTGCCAAAGAGGAAGGGATCCAGGGTGGGGAGACACAGCAGATGAGAGACTGAGAGCCAGAGGAGCTACTCCAGGGCTGCCTGCCACCCACTCAACTGCCCATGAGAGAAGATTCAAGGAGGGCTGCAGGAGGGAGGACCACTGACTGCTGGGGTAACACTCTGCTTTGCATGGGAATGGTACTGGCTCTCTCTTTCATCTGAGCCTTCCTTGGAACAGGGGCCTGTCTGGAAGAGGTCTGTGCAGTGATATGGCTCAGCCAGCAAGAGGAATATAGTCCTGCCCATAAAAACTCCAGAAGCAAGATTAGCAGACTGCAGACAGGGGTTCCTCCACTCTAGGTGCAAGGATTCAATCCAGCACCCTCTGATTGTGGAAGAAACCTAGGGACTTTCTGACCCCACTAACCTTGTCAGGCAGGGTGGACCAAACTGACAAGCGGGCTCAGAACTGACTAAGGCTGAGTCAATCAAGTCCTCAGGGCTAGGACCAGAGCCTGCTATGATCTGCAGATGAATGGACAGCCAAGTTTCAGCCATCCTCGTGAGATTACATTCTATCCAGGAAAGTCAAGGGACTGGAGAGGAAGAAGTGGTACAGGTTACATCCTGTCTTAGTCAATGTTTTATTCCTGTGAAGAGACACCATGATCGTGGCAACTCTTATAAAGGGTTTTTTATTGGGGTTAGTTTACAGTTTCAGAGGTTTAGTCCATTATCAGCATATGGGGAGCACAGTGGCATGCAAACAGACATGGTAGTAGAGAAGTAGCTAAGAGTTCTGCATCCGGATCCACAGGCAGCAGGAAGAGTGACACTGGGCCTGGTTTGGGCTTTGACACCTCAAAGCCCCTCCCCACCTCCAGTGACACACTTCCTTCAATAAGGTTCCATCCCCTAATCCCTCTCAAGTAATGCTACTCCCTGATATATAAGCATTCAAATACATCAGCCTATGGGGGCTTCTTATTCAAACCAGCACACAGCCCAGTGGGAGCTGCCTAGACAGAAGGGCTGCTGCCCTGCACGGTGGAGGGTGAGAGCCCATGTTCCAAAGAAGAAATTCCTTATCCTTAGACAGATTATCCTGTCCACTTGAGTTGAAGACATAGTGCCCCAAAAGTCTCCAAGGACTCCTGAAGTAGGTGAGTGTTTCTATACCTGTAGAGAGGACAGAAAGGGAATTCCACCAGAGTGAGACAGGCTCAATGGCCAGACACTCCACCCCAAGACAATGCCATTGGCATAAGCCTAAATCACGCTATGGATGGCCATTGTCAGTCCATGCTGAGGAACCAGAAAGATTAACAGAACTGAGACTGGAGATGTGGCTCAGTTAGTAGAGCCACTGTTTAGCATGCACGAGGCTCTAGGTTTAGTCCCCAGCACTCATAAACCTGGTACAGCAGTACACATCTGTAGCACAAATTCTAGTTGCTCTTAATAAACCTCAGAGTCAGTTATCAATCAGGGTGTGAAAGCTGAAGGACCAGAGAAGCAGAGCAGTCAGCCACTAGAGTTCTTATCTCCACCAATGCTCAGACCAAAAGGGTGATCCTGTCCTCAGACTGACGACTGCTTCAGACTGGCTGCACTGAGCTCCTGTCTCCTCCCACCTTATATTCCTCTCTTCACCCAGCCATATCACTCCTATGTGCCTCCCTAGTGCTGGGATTAAAGGCATGTGACCCCAAGTGCTGGGATCACCTTTGTGTGAGCCCTGTTTCTCTTTTAGACTGGATCAATTTCATGTAGCCCAGGGTAGCCTTGAACTAACAGAGATCCATCTGCCTCTGTCTCCCGAGTGCTAGGATTAAAGGTGTGTGCCACTGCCTGGCCTCTATGGCTAGCTGGTGTGGCTACCTCAGCACTCTGATCCTTAGGCAAGATTTTTTGTTAGATATAAACAAAATATCACCACACACACACACACACACACACACACACACACACACACCAATAATTCTTACCCAGAAGCAGAGGCAGAAGGATTAGAAGTTCATCCTCAGCTACTTGGTGAGTTCAAGACCGCTCTGGGCTACATCAGACCCTGTTTAAAAAGATTAGCTTCTTGTGACCACTGCTCTAGAAAGGCAAACGTTTCAGGCCCAGGGAGACAGACACCACCATGATCGATGGACTCAGGACTGCTTCCCAACTGCACCTGAAGGGTGGTGACAGGAGCCTTCTATCCAGGAAAGCAGTGGGGGATGGGATCTCTGCAGGGGACAGCTGTTCAAGCTGACTAGGACTCTGAATGTCCTAGTCACAAGGTCTGTGAAGTCTGAACGGAGGACGCAGGAGATAACGTCAAACAGAAGACCTTGGTTAGGAAAGGAAAATCCATGGTCTGGGTGTTACAGAAGCCAGCGTGACTGCCGAGAGGCTCTCCCATGTGACTCTGGACTGCCTTCAGGTGAAAGAGTGGACAGGAAGAGCTGAGCCACCAGTGCAATGGGATCACATTTGTGAAGGGATGGACATCACCTGACCCATTCACTTGGTGTCTGTCACCAGTGGACCGACTGGATAAAGAGACAAACCAAAAGAAGTTCAGCACGCGAGGTCAGCCTGATGTAGTAACTCCTGGCATCATCCCCGAGATCACTGTCCTCCTTGGGGACATGGACCCCAGTGCCTGTCATAGCTCCTATAAGCTTATTGCACACACGCAGTCTCTTCCCATCTGCACAGCATTTAGGGAGCCAGCCAGACTCCTGCGACCCCATGGGTCACTGCACAGCGAGGACCCTCTAGACAGTGCTTCCGAGGCATCTAGGCCTAATGGCTGAGCCATTAGGACACTTGTGAGCTGGACACCCATAACCATGAAGACCCTTCAAAATGCCACTTGTCTTCCAGACCCAGAGGAGGGGCCTGTGCTGATGAACCGTGACTCCTTAAATACTGAGACCCTGCCATGAGCTGCACATGGTGTCAGCCAGGGGATGACGTTCTCTGCCCTCAGTTCCTCAATGGTGACAACCTGGTAGGCATTCAGATCACTGAGGGAATATGAGAAAGATGTTCTAAAATGAGGAAGACACCTCCATCCTTGGCTGCTTAGACCTGTCCGACCCCCAGGTGAGACCCTGGAGGGGACAGAAAGCCAAGGACTCAGACATTGAGCAACAGCCTGGCCACGGGACAGTTTCCATCCTGAGGACGGCAAGTATATCACCCCAAACTGTGGACTCTCCAAACCACCAAATGTCACCATGCTGTAGCCTGGACATCTGAGGACACACTCCGAGCCTCACCTTCAACTCCTGAGAAATGAGCACTTGGAGCATGTGGCCCCCACCACCACTTGACGCATTGCACGACCTGTGAGGGGACATCATATGCTCCTAAGCCCCCCCCCCCCCGCCCCAACAGCTGGCTTCCTGGGCATCTTGGCCTCAGCCCCACCCTGGCCAATCTACCATCCAGTTTCACAACTTTTTCCTTCTCCTACTACCCCTCCTCTGCCCCACCCCCAGACTGTGAAGCTCCTTCCTAGGGCCAGCCATTGCCACCACCGTCAGCTCCTTAGACTGTGCGGGAAGATCAGGTGCAAAACCGGTATTCCCACATGTGCGATCAAAAATGGAAGTGCGACTCTCAGGAAAGGAGGTGGCAGAGACTCAGCAACCCACAAGCTCCTGGGGAGAATTCTGCAAGAGGAAGGGGAAGAGGGTAGGAGAGGAGATAAGCAGTCCTGCGAGGCAAACTAAACCCACTCCTTGTGCCCTGCCACGCCCCCAGAAGCAGGACAAGGGCCCCCAGAGTCCTGCTACTGGGCTCACGCTCAGCAAGTGGTCTTTACTATTTGTTGGGTACGAAATACTTACTGAGTACTAGGAATAAAATATTGAAAGATGCTTGGTAAAAACAGAAGGGCTGGGGATTTCTTTCTAAAAACTGGAGCTTCAGCACTTTAGATGACAGCCAAGATAGGCTGACTGGGCTCTGGAGCCTCTGTTTCATACCCACCTAGTGGAGTGTAAGAGATGGCCCTGCTCGCAGAGGAAGGGGAATTGAGAACCAGATCTGTCCACACCAGTGCCGCAATGACCTCTTTCCCCGAAATCATATTCTGTCGCCTCACCCCAAGAGAGGGATGGGCTCAGCCCGGAGGAAGGAGCAGGGCGGAAGGTGCACATCCTCGGTCCAGCACTTCCTCAGCCCCCGCGGCAGTGGAGATTCCCATGAGCGCCTAGGGCTTCGGGATGCTGTCTGTCCTCTCCTTCCGGAAACAAGCGGAGCCTGCGCACAGGTCCTAGCATCAATAATTGCCGCAAAGACCTAGCCCTTCCACCCTCCCCGGGTCTGTCCTGCAAGAGAAGGCAGACAGGCTGCACCTCAGGCCAGGTGGAAAGCGGCGGGCCACGCCAGCGCTCAGTCACCACATTTTGTGAGCATTTAGGGAAGACTTCTGGGTGCCACCGGGGTCTGGGGACCGCAGCCGTGGGCGCATGGGTCGGGACTCGGATCCGAACCTCAAAGGAGGGGCTGTCCTGTTAGACCAGGGGCGCAGCCGCAGGACCCTGAGTCGAGTGGCCGGGGTTGCCCCCCCCCCCACCAGTAGGACCCGCCCACAGCCCGTGGAGCGCCCCGCCCGCCGCCCGCCCCCGCCATCCGAGCCCGGCTCTGCCGCCAGGGAATCTCCAGACTGTGGCAATCTCCAGGACCTGAGGTTTCCGGAGCTCTTCGGGGTCGCCTCGCCCGGAGGTGAGTCTACGGGGCCCGGTCTCAGATTGTTCACGCGTCACGCGAGGACAGAGCCATGATGCGGATGCGTTGGAAGAGAGCTGGCGGCCTTGGTTGCAGCGTCTGAGGTCTGGGCACTCGGTACCCGTGTGCGGAGTGGTTGGAGCCTGCGAGGCCCCCGGCAGCGTGCTCCATTCCTCCCATCCCCCAGTCCTCCTGGAATGTTTCTGGAGATCTGGAGCAGAGAGGGGCAAAGGCCCCTGCTGAGCCCTCACTGGGTGTCCCTTTCTCAACTCCACCGTTGCTGATTTGTCTGCTTGGGATCTCCAGGGACACCCTTGTAAACTAGAGCAGGAGTTGTGGGACCCTCTGACTAGGTGGATTGGTTGCCCAGCGGCAGGACCCTCCCCAGAGTGTGGAGCGGGAGCTCTTTGTCTTTGTCCGGGATTTTGCATACTGGTACTGAGGTTCCGCGGTTGTGCCTTGTCCCTGGCTAGCTCCGTTGGCCTAAACAGGCTCATTCCCTGGCCGCCCGCCTGCCTCTAGACACCTGGCTTTCACAGGTGAGCCCTGTGAGTTTGAGGAGGAGTTCCTGGGCCCCAAGCGGCCCTGCCCAGTGGCCTGCAGATGGTAGCTGTGGACAGACTGGACACAGACTCATCGCACTGGACTGGTTTCCAATTCCAACCACTCCCCTGGTACCTCCCCTCAGCCCTTCTGGTCACGCTGTGAGTCCTCCCCGACCTGTTTGTGGCATGCGCCAGAGCTTCCTAGCAGACAGCTCAGGGCTCCTTCGTTCCAAACCTCACTGTGTTTAGGAAGAAGAAGAAAAAAAAAAAAAAAAAAAAAAAAAAACAGGCGACTTCTTTTCTCCCTGTATGTACTGCCTGGAAGCGAGAACAGGCCCAGCTGGGCTTGGCACTGAACTTGACCATCTGGGGTTTTTGCTACCCACTACATAATGTTAGTTAGCAAGGCTCAAGACAGGAGAGGCCAAGGGCTGGACCTGGAAGACATTACAACTTCATTTCCTACTGCATTCCCTTTCTCTGTCTTAGAGGACCTCCCCAAATCTGTAAGTCACCCCTTTTCCTCTCGGTCTCTGGAGTGCCCCTCCCACTCAACAGATGGTACCAGTGTGCTCCCCCCGTAGGAGGCCAGTGGTACTCAAAAATAGGACAGTGAAACCCAGCAAGCTGGTCCTTTCTCCAGCTTTGTCTATCCTGTGCCACAGACTCCTGCCCAGGTGCCCAGAAAAGCCCCCTGGCCCACCTGCCTGCCTAGTGTGCTGAGGGATACAGGTAACCTCTTGTTGCCCTTCCGAGACCCAGGTGGAGGAATGGAGTTGGCTTCTTCTGGAAATGGGTCCTGAGCCCCACCCCCAACCTAGTATGGGCAACGGGAGGGAATGGTGAAGCCCAGAGGCCTCTAGCCCCCTCCAAGAGTGTTCTGCACTGCCCTGACCTCCGGTCCATTCCCTAAGCCCCCCACTTCTGTGGCATCCTGAGAGTTCTTGGTTCCCCCTACTTGGCCTTGGGTGCCCCCAAGTTTGGGAAGAGGATGTCAACTGGAAGGTACCATTAGATGAATTTGGAGAAAGATTCTGCACTTGCCAAAAGGGATGTCAGATAAAAGCTCTTTCAGTAATTGGCTGCAATAGCAGCAGGAGGGGGCCAGTTGTACTGAGATAGAGATTTGATTAGCAGCCCATGGGGCAAAGGAAAAAAATCTGGCTGCTACAGGTTTCAAAAGGAGGAGGGGCTCTAGATAACATATGGCTTATGTAAGTGTGACTATAGCACAAGGCTGGCTTTAGGCAGTGCAAACTGCTTTCTGATTGGTGCAGGGGCTAGGAAGCCTTTCCTGGATAAGGAATTGGGCTTTAACTCAGGTGGTCTCAATGGCTAGCCTCAGGGCAGCAGGGGGTTAATACTGCTTTCCTGCCCTACCTGGGGCCTGAATCCTGATCTACCAAGGGGACACATGTGGCTCACTGGGGAGGTGTAGGATGGTGCTGTCTAAGGCGGGATCCTGAGTGGGTAGCCTGTCCTTTAACCAACTAACTCTCTCTCTCTTTCTCTCTCTCTCTCTCTCTCTCTCTCTCTCTCTCTCATTGTAGCAGGCCTCTTTGGAGCCCTCACCAGGTGTCTGCCGCTTCCAGCATGAGGGTCTTCTTGCCTGTACTGCTGGCAGCCCTTTTGGGTGTGGAGCAAGGTATGGAGCCCTGAGCCCCCAGGTCACCTTGTGTTTAAGGAGACACTTTAGCCCCTCCAGAACTACAGTCTAATGTCACTTATCGTCTCTCTCTGATCCAGGACTGAGCATGTTGTAGTTGCTAGTTGTCAGCAAAGGGTTGGGTGTCAAGCCCCGCTCCCCCCACTGGAATGGAAGCCTTCCCTGGAAGGCTTCCCCAGGGCGCAGGCAGCTATCACCTACAGCGTGTCCCTTTTTGCAGCCCATTCCCTAATGTGCTTCTCCTGCACCGATCAGAAGAGCAACTTGAAATGCCTGTGGCCAACTGTATGCCCAAGCTCTGACAATTACTGTGTCACAATATCTGCTGCCGCCGGCTTTGGTGAGTACCATCCTAACCATCTCCCTGGCCTGCATCCTAACCATCATCTCTCTGGCCAGAATCAGGGATCCACAGTGCTTTCTCCATCTCCTGGTGTCCATATGTCTGTCCCCTGATCTCACTTTCCATACAGGGAATGTCAACCTTGGCTACACCCTGAATAAGGGCTGTTCCGAAATCTGCCCTCGTGAGAACATCAACGTCAACTTAGGAGTAGCATCCGTGAATAGCTACTGCTGCCAAAGCTCCTTCTGTAACATCAGCACAGCTGGCCTTGGTCTTCGCGCCAGTATCCCCATGCTGGGCCTTGGACTCCTGCTCAGCTTGCTGGCTCTGCTGCAACTGGAGCCCTGACCACCCCCGTGTGCTCCCCATATTCCCCCCAGCTCAGGAAGAAAAGCAGCCCCTTTTAGATCCCAGGGGACTCTAGGAGCCTTCAGCTCCTAGGTGTGTCTGGTCCCCTTCTACACTCTCTCAGCATCAGGGATGAGCACCAAATGGACCCACATCTGTTCTGTTGAAATGGGACTGGCTACCCTTGTGTCCAGAGCCAATCCTGTGACTTCCTTTGGGGAACCAGGAAAGGGGTGAAAATCTTCCTTGGAGTCTCAGAGTCAGACACACTGACGAGGATGTCTAACCGAACGAACGTACACCTGTGTGCTCACTGTGTCTGTGTGTGAATGAAGCCACCTGGAGTCTGGGATGGGCAAAGGGGACCTGGAAGATTCTAGAGCGGAAGGCCTCTGTCTCCACTAAAACTCCTTCCTCTGGCATTACTGTACCCAGGTTGTACCCATTTCAGGAGTCTGCCCATGGAGGACTGCCACTCCCAATGAAGGCTCCCACCCCTAGTCCCAGTTGAGTCCCTGCCTGCCCTCTCTGCCCACACTGGCTTCCTGCTGCTATTCTAGTGCCTCAAATAAACTGTTCCCACCCATTCCTGCTCTGTCCTGGATGTCCTTACCCCTCTCCCACCTTGCAGAGTCTCCTTTCCCCTCCAGTCTGGAGGGACCTGGAGATCCCACAAGCCCACAGCTTTGCATAAGAGATCCTGAAAGACCAGCCTGGCGTGGTGATACATTCCTT